ACAGGATTAGCACCTTTGCTAATCTTCTCGAAGCCCTCCTTGGCAATAGAGCGTGCCGAGACAGTAGCAGTCGTGGTGCCATTCCCAGCCTCTTCATTTGTGTTATTGGCGACATCTTGAACAAGTTTAGCGCCAATATTTTTATATTTATCTTTTAAGTCAATTGACTTTGCTACAGTCACACCATCTTTTGTTACTTTGGGACTTCCCCAACTGTTCAGTAATCACTGTTCTTCCCTTTGGCCCCATAGTCACGGCTACAGCATCGGCTAAAAGGTCTACACCTTGAAGCATTAAGGCTCGGGCATCCGCACCAAATTTTACGTCTTTGGCATAGGCCCGAGTGAGATCAGGAGCCAGTGCTCTGGACACTGGCCTAATTTGGCGAAGGACTGCGGGTAATCGAAGCATTTCTGCGGGGCAGCGGCAGAGCGTGCGGACTGTGAGGCAGGCCGTCGGAGGCGAGTGAGGGTTGTGATGACTCTTGGTGGGCAATATGTAATGTCATAGTTCTCATCACTTCTTATGAATGTTGTTGGTTTCGAGCAGAGCTCTATTTTAAGTCTTTACTGATACTGTTAGACATAAAATCTGTTCAAGTGAGTGTACTTCCACATGCGTATCATTAAGAAAATTGAATCTGAGTCTTTTGTAAAACGAAGCTGTGTATTTGCCTAAAAAATATGTGTAAATATAAGCTTTTTAGGAATGTATGGCATGCATAGAGGCTGTGATCGTTGCCAAATAAAGGGTACGTGGATTAGTCTGAATCATTCTGTGCCTGCTGGTAAGTACTCCCTCGCCATCACTGTACTAGGTGTTTCACTAAACACTACAGCAGCCTGCCCTTGTACTGCTGGGGGCTTATTACCCACCGACCCTCCCAAGGCATCAAAGCCTGGAGAAAATTTTTATTTGAAAACCTGTTTGGAAGCAGGTGGAGAGTGGGATGTGGTCATTAAGGAGAGCAGAGGTTGAGAACAAAGTATGGGCTTATGTCAGAGCTGTGGGTTGGAGGTTAATAGAAGGGGAGGAAGAACAGTTTATAGCACAATCATGGGGTGGAGTTTGTGAGAACAAGTGGTTCCACGTGACAATTGAAGCATTTTGGAAACACCCAGGTCTTGGCATTTAAGTACTGGTCACATGCTTGCAATTAGAGTTCATGCAAAGTTTTGTTTTTCCTCAGCCTCTGAGTAGGCACCACTGTTCTGCAGTCTTAAAATAACCAGGGAAAAACAGAGCTGCTTTATATTATCTTCCTTATTCTCTTAATTTTGTCATTCACTTTCCCTATTTTTCCCATGCTCAGAACTCCATCCTTTTGCTAGAAATACCTGTTTATATGAAGGAAGGTGCTATTTGGAATTGATTTTAAAAACAAAGATGTATGTTTTAGAGTTCAGTGATAATGAAGTGGGAGATGGGGAAGCAAAAGAAAGACTTGGTTTACATTTAAATCTTAAACTTGGAAAATCGTAATCTGACTTTACATTGGCCCATTGTTTTTTGTTTATATTATTTTGAGTGGCTTAAAGGAAGAAGAGTCATGTTTATGCTCCATATTAACTAATACAGTTTTTCAGTCTTCTCAATATTTCTCATTTGGGTTTGTCTCGTTGGGGCTTTTCTGCTCACTTTCATAAGCCACAGAATCTCTGTTCATATTAGTTTTTACAGCTTAACATTTTTATATTTAAATATTACATTTAAATAATTTAAATCAGTGCATAGCAATTAAATATAACAGGATGAAGTTATATGAAATCATGTTTGTGTAATCGTTTTTCATTAGTTGTTTCTTGGTGAAATATACTTATTGCTATGATATATCTCAAGTTATTGATAGTAACTCTTTGGAAGTGGTTTGCCAACTCTTTGTTCAGATAATAAAATGATATTGCAGGGAATCTTTGGCTCAAACAAGATGAGAAGAAAAATGAACTTTTGCTTTCCACGATACATCTTCATGAACCTGAAATGGTGATGTTTTAAATAAATTAGCTGTTTCATTATTAGTCTTCACAAAGGGAAAATAACCAAAGTAGGAAGCTTTTAATATATTTTTAGCATATAATGCCAGACATGTTACGGTTTACTCACTATCCTCCTTATAACCTGTATTTGCATATAGCTCTTCTTTGCCTCTCTAAAGTTAATTTTATTTTTAGCCCCAATTCAAGGCTTTCTCCATTAATATATGTGCACTCAGTTATGGTCTTACTCTTCTCTAAACTGACCACTTATTGTCCAGTGTTTTCTTTTAATGATTAAATATTATAGGCCTCTAGCATTTGTAATACATTACTGTAGAGATAAGCCATAAATATGGAAAAGGTATGAACTCTGTAGAGTAGGGTTTTTAGCTTGTCTTACTATCCTTTGTAACACTACCTGCTCACAGCACAGTGCCAAACATGGTAAGTGCTCTCTGAGTGCTTTGTGAATTCAAATAAGATTAAAACATAATTATATTTTGGAAGTCTTGCAGTCCTTTAAATGAGTACATCCATACAAATGAGTACATAAAAAGGTTTAGGAATGACTGCTAAAAGAATAAGAATTTGATTTGTTTATACATGTTATGTTAAAGACTATTTTTAGTTCCTTAAAGACTGTTTTTCTTTTGAGATCATTAGAATCTCTTTTAAGGCTTATTACTTTTCCCAGTTGGAGAGAAATATATACACCCTTGGTAGAAACTCTGGAAATTTTTTTTAAAAACGAAAAAAAATTCTCATGTTTTATACCATACACAAAGATAATCACTGTTAACATTTTATTTCCTGCCAGACTTTTCATTGGGCAGCTTTTACCCTTTTTTTAAGTAATTATAATCCTACTCTTTCCACTTAACATTATAACATACATTTTTTATATTACAAATTCTTCCTAAGTATTGCTTTAGTAGTTTGCACTGTAGCACATTAGAGCTCCTTAATTGAGCAGGCATGAAAAGGGGATGGTAAAATGCCTATTTTCCCCCTTCTTTAAACATTGGGAAAGAGGTGAGTAAATACACATCTGTTCCTGATATTTAGATGTCAGTGACAGTGACAGGCTGACCAGCCTTTTGGCTTACAGTAGATTTGAAGATATCCAGGCACAGAGTAGTAAAGTAGCTGATTACCATGGAGCTGTAAATACATGATATTATAATTGTCTGTAGTTGTTTTTTGAAGCATAAACCAGACTATATTTTTGAAAATGAAAAATGCTGATCTTGTAACTTAACATTTTGAACTATGGAGACACTTAATAGTTTTGTTTATGTCATACACTAGTTGAATAGTCCTGATAAACCTATGAACTGCCTATACCAATTACAAGAAAAATAGAAATTCATATATTTTTTAAATTAACTTGTGTACTTCAATTTTAAGAAAAACTTCTAGGTAACAAGTATTTAGTCTGAATAATAAAGAATTGAAGAAATACATTCTTTGCAAACTTCCCTGTATTGTGCTTTGTTGCTTTCTAGATGTTATATCATGAGGGAGGACATGGAAAAATACGTAATTTGCCCTCAAAAAAGTTGCAGTTTGTAAGAGTATTAATTTCATTGATTTCCTACCTATGTAGTTTCTCAGGAGGATATTTTGATATGCTAATGTATTTTTTTAATTTTATTTTATTATGTTATGTTAGTCACCATACATCATTAGTTTTTGATTGCTAATGTATTTTTTTTTAAGATTTTATTTATTTATTTGAGAGAGAGAGAATGAGAGATAGAGAGCACGAGAGGGAAGAGGGTCAGAGGGAGAAGCAGACTCCCTGCTGAGCAGGGAGCCCAATGTGGGACTCGATCCCGGGACTCCAAGATCATGACCTGAGCCGAAGGCAGTCGTCCAACCAACTGAGCCACCCAGGCGCCCTGCTAATGTATTTTTTAAAAGTGGTTATATTGGGTGATGTTGAATGAGAACATTTTTATTTTGTGTATTACTACATTTTTCACCATCTGATTCATATTCCAAAGGTTTATTCTGTATCCTTTGTCAGTAGATAGAATGCTACCATACCTTCTGGCCAAAGATAGCACATTATAGATATTTTCCACAGCTTATAGGCCCTATGTAATGGTTCTTTTCTTTGTTTTGACCTCTAGACTAGTGGTACACATTTGGTGAATGTCACTTGTGATTGAGGAACACTAGGGCATTGAGTGTGCTTGGTGCTCTGGAAAGACATTAACAACGATGAACATTGTTTGAAAGCTTACTGTGAGCCAGGCACTGTGCTGTGTACTTTACCTGTTATGTTCTTGTAATCATATAATTCATGAGGTTGACACTGTTCTTATGTCCATTTTACAGATAAGGAAACTGAGACTTAGGTCAAGTAGTTTGTTTAAAGCAGTATTCAAAGACTTGTATGGCCTTCACAGTGGTGATAGATACTTTGGGTGCTGGCATGGTTGATTGATGTCCTTAAATAAATTGGGAAAACAAGCTTCTATTTGGAGAACAATCTGATAGCTGTATATCGAGGATCGGCTCTGTAGTAAGACTCACTCTCTGTCATCAAAGTGCTCACTAGCTCTTTTAGAAGAGGCTGTGTACTTGGTACTCATAAATAAAAACTAGGTTGTAACTGCATCAGATGAATTGCAGGGCCAGGAAATGCTGTAGACATTGCATTATTGGAAAGATCATATTGTGAGAGATGGTCAGGAAAAGTTGTTTAGAATTTCTGGATTTACATAGGCAGGGAGAGTATTAAGGGCAGGAAGCTACCATATTAACAGAGGTTAAAAGCACAAGGGGTATAATAGGATTGTGATTGTAGATAAAGCAAGAGCGTAATGGCAGCAGGTTAGGAAGACTGGTGTGGACTGCATCGTGAAGAGCCTTGAATTCCAGACAGAGGAATTTGGATTTATTCCCTAGGCTCTGGGAAGCAATGAAAGGTTTAGGAGGAATTGTTTGTATATAAACTAGGGTCTAGATTTCTGATTCTTTAGAAAGGGCACCTGCCTAGAATATTATTTTCTCTCCATGACTTTAGGTCTAGAATTGTCAGTACCTGTTTTTGAAATCTACCTGTCAAAAACCATAAGAAAAACAAAGAAGTTGATGCAGTAAGAAATGACCCTTGGAGGCTTTGCAATGTTTTGTTTTGTTTTTAATTTCCCTTCCCTACTTACTCACAGAATACTGGCCAATTTGTACATTCTCTAAAGAAATAATTTGAGAGACTTAATTTTGAGTCTCGTCCTTCCTGTATCCCATTCTGAAATCTTGAATGTGCTGACTCCTTTTTGTAATATGACAGTGTTTATTGTGTTTGGTTCCAGTGCCTCGGTCACCCTCCCTGGATGTAAGGCATTCCTACAATATTTGGAAGGCTTGCTTGTCTTTTCAAAGGTCGCTCTATTTACTCTGTCCTACTTTATACAGTCATGTGGTGAAACTGAGGCCTGCTCTGTGGATCGGCTTTGTGCCCATCCTAAGATAACTGTTGCTGTAACACTCACCATTTGATCAGTTTCTTGTAGGTAGACACCCTTTTATGTCTTTTCACAAACAGCATCTGCTTTACGCATGGCTTAGGCAACAAGGTTGTAATTAAAATCAGTAAATTGCTGCTTAAAATAAAGTTTTGCTGGCTTTGTAAAAAAAAAAAAGTCACTGTTTTCAGTTTGACAAACACATTTGTTTTTATTTATGCCACCCTCTAGATCTGTCATAATTATGTAGATGGTTCTTGTTCCGATATGATAAAGGAGCCTCTAACATTTTAATGCACAACAGAATATCTGGCTGAACTTGATTATACCAGTTAATATACATAGGATGAACGCAGTTTTATTCAAAAGGCCAGAATTAAAGGAATTTGGATTTTTTTTTTTTGGTTTGCATTTTGAGTGGCCCTTTGAACCAGTTCTGATTTCCTTCATAAAGATGATGATGATGTTTTAACCAGGCTGGCACAACCATTTCATTGTGTAAAAAGGTGCTTGTGGGAGGCTGGGGGGTGGGGTGGGAGGGTACTCTGAGAAACTGTGAGAAGCATGGGAATTAAATTCATAGGCTCCTTCAGTTATTTTGGAATCCTAAAAAGTAAGAGTTACAATCATTTAAGTATAATGTTTCTCAATTTCACTAAATGGCAAAAACTATATTCTTCAATATCTTGGGAAACTTAGAGCCTGAATTAAACAGAAAATAAAAATTAGATCTGTTAACTCTTGGTCGTATCATAGAGCCTTTTAAATATATAGTACCTCCTTGCTATATTACTGTGATAACTAAATGACTTTTTCCCAGTCCTAAATTTTTATATCTAAGTAATACCGCTCTTGCATCCTGACGTCTTGTTAACTTGATGCTCGCTTTCTATAGGCGCACCTATGTTGGCAGTATGCCTGGACGTATAATCAATGGCTTGAAGACTGTTGGAGTTAACAATCCAGTGTTCCTATTAGATGAGGTTGACAAACTAGGAAAAAGTCTACAGGGTGATCCCGCAGCAGCTCTGCTTGAGGTAAGATTTAGAAACTTCCCTGTCTTTGATCACACCTGAAGAGTACGGATGAGAGCAGATAATTGTATTCAGTAGCATATACATTGGTGTGGGTTTAGTCATGGGAAAAAGTGTGATACAGACTAAAACCTGAAGCAAATTAATATTTAAGTTAAAATGTCTTTGAGTTTTCTTCTTTCTTTCTCTAATAATCCCCATTTCTTTTTTCTTTTTTGTTTTTATCAAATACTTGAAATTTTATACATGGTTTTTTTTTTTAGAGACCAGTAGTTCTATAAGGTTATTACAAAAAACAGGAAACAAGTCTTCTTCTCCCTGGGGTCCCCCATGTCTCCTTCTACTTGTTGACCTCTTTAACTTTTAGTTTAATCAACTGTCCGTTCTCAAAATAACATGACTGTAATTACTGTTTTTTTTTTTAAAGATTTTATTTATTTGAGAGAGAGCAAGAGAGAGCATGAGCTGGGGGAGAGGCAGAGGGAGAGGGAGAAGCAGACTCCCCGCCGAGCAGGGAGCCCGATGCGGGGCTCGATCCCAGGACCCCGGGATCACGACCCGAGCCGAAGGCAGACACTTAACTGACTAAGTCACCCAGGCGCCCCTGCTGCTTCTTGATTATACAGTTTCTGGCATTATCTGTTGATTCTTCTGTATGAGATGAGGATTTCTCTTGCTTTCTTCCCTCCACCCCCACTGTCATTTTTTATACCCCCAATCTCCCAGTCTAAATTGTATCCTGATTTTGTTAAGTCACTGTCAGATACTTAAATTATTATAAGTATGTAAGTGCTTTTCACAGCTGAGCCATATGTAAATTATGATCACTTTTCTTTTCCTGTCCTCCTTTTGTTTTGCTGCACATTTAAAAAAAAATCTTTGTAGAGCTAATAGTTGTCTTGTTTCTTCTGCTTACTTCCAGCAGTTGTCTAAGTCTCCTTTCAAGACGAGTAGACACTGTGGGGCGCCTGGGTGGCACAGTTGGTTAAGTGTCCAACTCTTTTTTTTTTTTTTTTAAGATTTTATTTATTTGAGAGAGAGAGAGAATGAGAGAGAGAGAGCGCGCACACGAGAGGGGGGAGGGTCAGAGGGAGAAGCAGGTTCCCTGCTAAGCAGGAAGCCCGATGTGTGACTCAATCCTGGGACTCCAGGATCATGACCTGAGCCAAAGGCAGTCGCTTAACCAACTGAGCCACCCAGGCACCCCAAGTGTCCCAACTCTTGATTTCAGTTCAGGTCATGGTCTCAGGGGGATGAGATCAAGCCCTGCATCAGGCTCCACGCTCAGGGCAGAGTTTGCTTTGAGTTTCTGTCTCCTTCTCCCTCTGCCCCTCCCCCCCGCTCCCACGTGTATACTCTCTCTCAAATAAATCTTAAAAAAAAAAAACTTGCAGACACTTTAAGCATTTGTCAGTTTGATCTCCTTCACACCTCCAGCTTGAGCTAGTTGTTGTCCACATCGGGTACCTAGCTGTCTTGCTAGGATCTCCCTTCAACTCCCACTGTTTTGGATTTCCTGTTTCCTATATTCCATGCCTTCCTCATTCTTGCTTTATCCTCTTATTTTCTTGGTGTTAATCTACCAGTAGATTCCTGAGAAAGCTTGCATGGGTGGGTTAGAGTTTGCATATCTGAAAGTGTCTTTATGTTTCCCTTATTCTTGATTGGTAGTTTGCATTCTGGTTGGACATAATTTTCCTGCAGTATTTTGAAGACATTGCTCCATTGTTTTCCAGTTTCCTCTGTTGCTGTTGATTAGACCAAGGCTATCAGATCCTATCTTTTGTGACTTGTTTTATTCTCTGAAAACTTTAAGGATCCGCTCTTTATCCCAGTGTTCTGAGATTTTACAGTAATCTGCCTTGGCATGAGTCTCTCTCTCTCTTTTTTTTTTTTTTCATTTTTGCTGATGCTTTGAAGATTCTTTGAATTGGAAAATCCTGTCCTTTATTTCTTTAAAATTTTCTTGAATTTTAATGATCTTTTTTCTTTATTTTTTGGGAACTCCTATTAATTGGATGTGAGATCTTTAATTTTCTTATCTTTTCTATTATTCATCCTTTTTGTGTTTTTTGCTATACTTTTTATGAAGACTTCCTTAACTTTATCTATTAATCCTTCTGTGAGTTTATTATTTCAAAGAACTTTTTCTTAATTTCTCTGCTTGTTCTTTTTATAGTATCTTGCTCGTTACATAAGTGTAATATATCCTCTTTGTGAGAAAGATACTAATAGATATTTTTTTCCTTTTCTTTAAGCTGCTTTAATCTACTTGTTACATATTTTTTCCTCTGTCTTTTTTTATTAGAGTTGTCCGTTAGATATCTGGTCATTTTTGTTTGTTCATATTTAATAGTGAGGAACAGAAATGCTGATTGGCAGCTGCGCACATCTGAGGAGGGTTTATTGACTGAGTTTCACAATAGGGTTGGCTGGGCTGTTTGATTGAGGAAGGTCTTAGGTCAGTAACAAGTCTTTTGAGGCTGGTCAAATTTCTCAGAGAGGACTCCTTAAGTCCCTTGCCTTTAGAATGAAGGCTGGTCTGCTGACTTCCTGGGAACCAGGCAAGGGGGGGAGATGGGGAGGGTGGCAACTTCCACTGCATTCAGCATCCCAGATGTATGCATTCACCTGAACTGTTGTTTTCAGTAGAGTACATACTCTACTCAGCTATGCCCAGGGTCACTTGGGCAGGGAATGACTATTTTATTTTATGTTCTTAGGAAAATAAACCAGTATTTTGCTTGGATGGGGGAAGGGATCTGGGACCTGACTGCTTCATTAACTTACTTTAACCAGTCCTCATTTTACTAGCCCTGCCCCGCCAATGCTTACTGTGCTTTAAAGAAAATACTAATATTTAAACTGATTTATAAAATTGAGGGAAAACTTGCTTTGTGAAAGTTTGTTTTTTTCCTTGTTTATTTCCTTGCTTTGAGTTTCCTCTGACTACCTGTTCCTTTTCTGTTTTTGTAATCTTCTTAGAACAGGATGACCCTGGGACACGTGTCTTGTAAGCAGGGAGACCATACATTCTGGTTTGCCTGGGACAATCCCATTTTATGCCTAATTATCAGTTGCACTCTCTTTTAGTCTCAGAAGTGGGTCCAGTTTGGACAATAGAAAGTACAATTGTTGTACTTAAAAGCCACAGAACTTGGAGATAAGAGTTTCGTTTGGTTTTGCCTGTTTTTACTATAAGACAGTTCTGACTCAGCAACTTGTTTACTCACCAGTACTACGAACAGTAAAATAGTGAACATTATTGAAGAGTTTAGTGGCTTCTTAGATGATGGCTTTATTTGACTTTCAGTTTAATTTACATTGGGGCATTTTTCAGATGATCTGACAGATTTTCTTATTAGACAGTTATAGTTACCCTGTTGAAAAGAATTTGAGAATAATCCCTGATACTTCAGTTTCTCAACATACTCTGTGGGAGTTCTGAAACAAATCCACGAAAGACAGCTTCACAAGTGGTAGGAGATGATTAAGCCCCCTGTCTGTTTGTTGTACAGTATATTTTAGGTCTTCATCTAGTGCTTTGTAGCGATTGAGTAACATTTGTTGAATTGAATTATGTTTGGTAACAAGCAGCTGGTGTGGTGATATTTTCTTGCCTGGTAGAAGTTGGTATTCACTTTTTTGGCAATTGATTTATTAATATTCCAAATAAAAGTATTAAAGCCTCAAATGATACCTCAAAGTAAATGCTACCTGGGGCCACATACTTATCACTGTAGTTTAGTTGTAGGTAGCATCAGTTCCTTATAGACTGGGGTTCTGTAGAGTGAAGCTAATACATATACATAAGAAATGAGTGTCTTGGTACCTGACTTCCTTCTCCCTCCCACCTGCTCCAGTCCTGGGTAAAAAAACCTCTTACCCCTCATGGGTTGTTGAAACAATTAAATGATATATATGTAAAAGCGCTCTGAAAACTGTAAAGTACTCTACAGATGTTATTTTAATTTAATGTCCACTGACATTTCTTCTTTGTTCATTTTGAAAACCACTTGCTATTTCTATCACCTTTAGACCCACCTAAATGAAAAAAAGGACAAATTACTCAACACCTTATATTTAAAGTAGAGTATTAGAGAGCGTCTGGCATATCCAAGAGTATGGCTTTTTATCCTTCCACATAGAAAGCCTACTTTTTAATGAAATGACTTCTAGATATCATTTATAAAATATGCTCATACAAGATTATTTTATAGCTAATTTATAGTAGAACAATATATATTAGATATAAAGAACATAGTAGTAGGTATAGAGTCATTACTCCAAGTAAACTAAAGAATATACTTGTTCTGCCTATAGATTCTCCTCACCTTCATATTTATTCACGAAGGAGATGCCTATTTATCCAGTTACTGTTGTCAACAAAGGAATATTAACTCAAAATTTAGAGAGCCTCTTTTGAAAATTTATTGGAAGAATATAAAAACAGATTCAACTAATTGATTAAAAAATGCTGGTAGACAGTAGAACTTGGATAAGTCTGTTGTTAAATAGTAATAAAATGTCATCTTTTTATGTAATTACTAAACTCAAGAAAATTATAGAATTCTTATCAGGTAGATGCAATCATATTTATAATTGATGCAAGATTCAGACTTTGTTATAAAACATAAGAGCACTTCTGAAATACATGGGGCTAACAAAATGCATAGATACTTTACCAATTTTCTATATAAGCAATATTTACAGTTCTGAATAATATATGGTATCCCCAAAGTAGAAGAGTCACTAATATAGACATAGTAAACTTTTTTTAACTGAAGTTCTTATTTAATTAGAATTAGATCCTTTTAGTAATTAGATCAAGTTGTGTATGTTTACTACTTGGATACAACAGACATAGGATCGTCTAATCTAAGCTCTACAACTATTGTCAAAGAACGTCAAAGGAGAGGGATTTGGGAATCATCTAATCCAGCTCCATCCTTTTATTAATGAAAAATCTGAGGTTCTGGATGTTACCTTAATTTTTTATCTCC